CTGAAAGTGCTTGATATGTACAACAACAGCTACACAGATTCTCATATATGGCAATTAGCCATTGATAACCCAGACAGGGACATCTATTGTTTCACGACGGATCCCATACTGTATACATCGTTCCCGGATTATAAATTGGCTATTGGACCGCAGAACTTTTATATCCTCAATGGGATATCGTACCAGAACGTTCCAATGACGAAGAATACATTTGCTGCTGCAATATGCTATGACTTACACTTCTATCTAAAGAACGACCAATGGGTACCAACACTGTCAGAAGTGTTTCGGTTGTTAACTTTCAACGGCCAGATCAGCATATTCCTGATGGACTACTCGGTACTGAATTGTAAAAATGAAATCTATAGCAAATTCTTTGAGATGCTCAGAAATGCGCTGAGGAGGGATGGAATGGATCCATATCCATGTAAATCCATTCAAAAGAGGTTGAGGGAAGCTGGCTTCCAAAACATCAGACACGCCTTTGTCTCGTTGAAAAAGGGAATTCCAACAGACCTGGGTAACATTGTGGAGTTTGTTCAGAGCTTTTTTGAGTGTGCTATGTTTAAGTACGTTGCACAACTTCACTTATCACCAGAGGAACTCGTCTTGTTTAGAGAGATGAAATTACAGTACAACAGAGACGTTAGAAACGGCGAGCTGTTGGATGAATTCGGAGACTTCTACTATATGCTTGTCTTTGCACAAAAGAAAACGTATTGAGAACACACTTGTCGTTAATATTGAATTTTACGTCCTTTACGAACAGCCACAACCTGTAGATGAGGAACCCTTGCAGAAGTTGTGGAACAAACAAAGCTCATGCTCTTGCGTGTTCTCAAATTTACGCCGGTATCGGCGTAAGTTTCAGGACGATATTTTCAACCTTTTCACATCTGCCAATTTTCGCAGCGGTAAAATAAAGAAGAAGTTGAAGGAGGGAGGGTAAAAAAAACCGCCGGCGCGTTCAAAGAAAGGCAAAAAAAAGCTCAGCGATCAAGAAAAATTTATGCCGATTAGATTTAATCATTGTTTACCTCTCCTTAAATCACTAAGTAAGCTGGGGACTAGAACAATGTCACAATCAACTGAATGGCCAGCACAAAAGGTGAGTTTTGATCTATTCGTTAGCCGCCGCATACGTTGTGAAAATGTGGAATGAGGGAGGAGCGGAAAAGGGAAGAGAAGAAGATTCTTGTGATTCATCATCGTTGGGCGGTTAACTCGTATCTCGATCTATAAGCGATGGTGGATACTAACTAAAGCTGCCAGGTGCGTAACACCTTCTTGGACTACTTCAAAAGTAAGGGTCACACTTTTGTTCCATCCTCTTCTGTTATTCCATACGATGACCCAACGTTGTTGTTCGCCAACGCTGGTATGAACCAATACAAGCCTATCTTTCTGGGTACAGTGGACCCAGCATCTGAATTCTACAGCTTGAAAAGAGCAATGAACTCTCAGAAGTGTATCAGAGCTGGTGGTAAGCACAACGATTTGGAAGATGTTGGTAGAGACTCTTACCATCACACTTTCTTTGAAATGTTGGGTAACTGGTCCTTTGGTGATTACTTTAAGAAGGAGGCTATTGAGTATTCCTGGGAATTGTTGACTAAAGTTTACGGCTTGAAAGAAGATAGACTTTATGTTACCTACTTCGGAGGTGATGAAGCCTCAGGTTTGTTGCCAGACTTGGAGGCAAAGAAGCTTTGGGAAGACGTCGGTGTTGACCCATCCCATATCTTGCCAGGTTCTGTTAAGGATAACTTCTGGGAGATGGGTGAACAAGGTCCATGTGGTCCATGTTCTGAGGTCCACTACGATAGAATTGGTGGTAGAAATGCCGCTGAATTGGTCAACGAGGATGATCCAAACGTTATTGAGATTTGGAACAACGTTTTCATGCAATTCAATAGAGAAGCTGATGGTACCTTGAGACCATTGCCAGCCAAGCACATCGATACCGGTTTGGGATTCGAAAGATTGGTTTCAATCTTGCAAAACTGCAGCTCAAACTACGACACTGACGTTTTCCAACCTTTGTTCAAGAAGATTCAGGAGATGACCGGTGCACGTGATTACACAGGTAAGTTCGGCGCTGAAGATGTTGATGGTATTGACACTGCTTACAGAGTTTTGGCAGACCACGTTCGTACATTGACATTTGCATTGGCTGATGGTGGTGTTCCAAACAACGAAGGTAGAGGTTACGTTCTGAGACGTATCTTGAGAAGAGGTGCACGTTACGCTCGTAAATACTTTAACTACCCGATTGGTAACTTCTTTTCTACTTTGGCCCCAACATTGATCGACCAAGTTCAAGATATCTTCCCAGAACTTACAAAGAACACCTCCAACACTTTTGAGATCTTAGACGAAGAAGAGGCTTCTTTCGCCAGAACTTTGGATCGTGGTGAGAAATTATTTGAGCAATACGCCATTGCTGCTCAAAAGGGTACAAAGATCCTTAATGGTAAGGATGTCTGGAGATTGTACGATACCTATGGTTTCCCAGTGGATTTGACCCAATTGATGGCTTTGGAGGCCGGTTTGAAGATCGATGAAGCTGGTTTTGAAAAGGCCAGAATCGAGTCATATGAGGCTTCTAAGGCAGGTGGTAAGTCTAAGGGCTCTGATTTAATCAAATTGGATGTTCATGCCTTGGCCAAATTGAACGAAGAGAAGCTTGACAGAACAGATGATCACTACAAGTACGGCACAGAAAACGTTGAGGCCAAGATCTTGAAGATTTACGATGGACAAGAATTTGTTGACGAAATCTCCGATATTACCAAGCAATACGGAATCATTCTCGACAAAACTCCATTCTACGCTGAACAAGGTGGTCAAGAGTATGACACTGGTAAGATCGTCATTGACGGTGCCTCTGAGTTCAACGTTGAGAATACTCAACAATACAACGGTTATGTCTTCCACACTGGTAGATTGGCTGAGGGTTCTCTGAAGGTTGGTGATGCTGTTATTGCCGGGTATGAAGAATTGCGTCGTTGGCCACTTAGAAATAACCATACTGGTACACATATTTTGAACTTGGCATTGAGAGAAGTCCTCGGCACAGAGGTCCATCAAAAGGGTTCTCTTGTTGCACCAGAAAAGTTGAGATTTGACTTCTCTCATAAGCAGGGTTTGACTCTTGATGAGGTTTCCAAAATTGAAGCCATCTGTAATGAGGAGATTAAGAAGGCTCAAATCGTTTACGCTAAAGATGTTCCATTGGAACAAGCCAAGGGTATTACCTCTGTCAGAGCTGTTTTCGGTGAAACTTATCCAGACCCAGTTAGAGTTGTTTCCATTGGTGTCCCAATTGATGACTTGTTGAGTAGTCCGACGGATGAGAAATGGATGACTGTTTCCATAGAATTCTGTGGTGGTACACATGTTGCCAAAACCAGCGATATCAAAGACCTCGTGTTGACCGAGGAATCTGGTATTGCCAAGGGTATCAGACGTATCGTCGCAGTTACAGGTAACGAGGCTCATGATGTTCAGAGAATTGCCAGCGAGTTTTCGAAGGACCTTGAGAGCGCTGGTAAATTGGAATTTGGTCCATTGAAGGAGAAGAAGCTGAAGGAGTTGGGTGTCAAATTAGGTCAATTGAACATCTCGATCTTGTCAAAGAGTGAGCTCAAGAACCGTTTCAACGTATTTGACAAAGAAATTAAAGATGAGAACAAGGCTCGTCAAAAGGCTGAGAGCAAGAAGACTTTGGATACCGTCAAGGACTACTTTGCTGAAAACGAATCATCTGCCTTCTTAGTTAAGCACGTTGACATCAGTGCCAACGCTAAGTCCATTACCGAAGCCATCAACTTCATCAAGTCCAAGAACCCGGATAAGTCCATCTACATCTTTACCGGTAACGCTGATAAAGTTGCTCATGGTTGTTACATCTCCGACAAGGCCATTGAAAAGGGTGTAAATGCCTCCGAATTAGCCAAACATGCCAGTGAATTCATTGGTGGTAAGGCTGGTGGTAAAGGTAACGTTGTGCAAGGTATGGGTGATAAGCTGGATGGAATTCCAAACGCTGTTGACGAGCTTGAAAAGCTTTTGAAAGAGAAGCTTAGCATTTAAACGTAAATAGATCCATCTATCAGCCTACTTTAATATCAGCTATTGCTACTTAACTGGAAACTAGTAACTACTGCCCCCCCCCCTCCCATGTCCATCCACATGGGGTAAATGGTAAACATCCATTAAAACAAGAATCTGCCGAATGTCCTTGTGGGAGACAATTGACGGAACAACGGCCCAACGTTCCGCCCGGCGTTAAGATACATCTCTCTTAGCCGTTTCCCCCATCCTCCGTAAAAATTGTGTCAAAAATTGGATGTTACAGAATGTCTTCTGTGTTTCCCCAGAAAAGCTTCCGGAAGGACGTGCTTGTTGTTTGCTGTGGTCTGTTTAGAATGCCTTTAGGAAGAACGGCAAGATGATTCATCCTCGTTTGAACATGTGACAGCCGTGGTAGGATCTGTACACATTTGGAGAGGACATAAAGCTGTGATTCAATTTGAAGAAAAGAATATAAATAACGGGTGTTCTTCTTCCTTGGTCCTCGTTTACTGTACTTGTTCACAACCAAACAAAAGACTCTGACATGGTTACACTTGATCAGCTTCCTACTGAAGTTTTACTCCGCATTGGTCAATTCGTTGACTCCAGACCAAACAAGCTTGTTAACTTATTAGCAGTGTGTAAAAAATTCTATTGTACATTCAGAACTATGGTATATAGAGACATTTGGGCAATTGTTTCCTCGGATGAATTCTTTGATACACAATGCTCCACCGAGAAGATACGAGATTATATCACTTCCAGTGGGGGAGTTGCTGAATACGACAACAACACTGTTGTAACAAGTGTCTGCAAGTTGAAGAAGTTGGTTTCATTACTGTTAGACAACGAGGAGATACGATCCCTCGTGAAATCATTAAAATTAAACGGGCTAAAATTTGATCCAGGTGATAGAGAAACCGGCAATAAAGTTTACGACTACATGAGATCACTACCGGAAGGTTCATATACAAAGCAATCACATAGAGTATTTATACACAAGGAATACTTGGAAAGTATGGAATCTCAAATCTTTGAGTCTTCCATGATGGAGTTCTTCCAAACGTCAACAAAGAGGGCAAACATCGGTGACTATGCTACGATGAAGAAGAATATATCAGACATGAGAGAATTGGAAGAGATTGGAAGATCATCGAAGGAACAGAAGGGTGTTTTAATGGACATTGACCGCAATGCTGTGACTGGTGTTCTTTTCTGTCCACACTCCTACGACGAGGTATCTAGAAAATACGGTTATTTACAGTGTATTCAGGGAGTGAGACAGCTGTTACAACTTGGACTTTGCTGTGATGTTTCCTTGTTGACGCTTCAAAACATGATGATGCAAAGCTCATTGGGTACACCAAATCCACATGATGAATTGGTTTTCTTGTCTTTTATGCATTATGAATTCAACAATTCATTCCTGTGCGTTTGATGAAATGGTCATATTCATTTAGCTACTCACTCTAGTTTAAACAACATGGCACATGTACCGGAGGAAACGTATTATATCCAATTGAAGTGTGTACTCTATCAAAAGCTCTTGTAAGTAATTGTGACAAGCAGACACTGGTGGATATTCCAATGTACAACTCCAGCAGTAGGTCTTATAGCGGTTGCTGCCCCTAACACGAATATATAATACTGGAGTGTGTTGATAGTTTCCTCTAGTCAATTGTACTGTTTAATATAAGTTCATCTATGATGAAGTGTATCGTGTGAATGAACTGTGCTATCTCGTTATTGCTTTATATATTACTAATATTTTCCTGCCCAGAGTTGAATTAAAGCCTTCTGTATTTGTAGTAGTTGTTAACTCATCGTTCTCTCGGAGAAAAATTTCCATCAAATACTTCTTCACACACGCAACATAGCCAACCAACCAAGAGGTCATAAACCCCATCCCAATGGTCAGACTCAAAGCTCGTTATATCCTGTTCGATATACTTACAGTTCCTCGAGAACCTCTGACTCGGTGTACGGAAAAAGAGCTCCTATTGACTATCCACAGCACAACTTCACCCTCATTGACACAACGACAGATTGCCGACCTCATCAGGAAACAAGTGCTAAAGCTATTTGGAGATTTCGGTAATGGTGTCTTGTCCTCCTCTATGGTGGTTAAATATTTCTCCTCAAAGACTTCTACTGGTATAATACGATGTTCAAGGGATTATTACCAAATGGTGTGCTGTGCGTTAACTACAATCACAAACGTGCTTGGTAAAGACGTTATAATACGGGTACTAAGTGTAAGTGGCACTATAAAGAAATGTGAACAAGCTGCTATTGAAAGGAATAGACAATTAATGAGGAAGTTAAATACCAAGATTGAAGAAGATGGTATACTCGACATTGACGAAGACGATGAGGACACTGATTAGCTAATGTTTAGGCCTTTTATACTGTAACCCGTATTCTAATGAATCTTCATCAACTTCTAAGCCTTCAGATTTCTCGAATTCAACAGGTCCTGAACTCTTAGCGTCATCTATATCATGGTCATTCAGTGTTGTATCTGAAACTTTGTAGATGCTGTTAACTGCCTGTTGAACAAACAATGGGTTATCGTATGGTTGGTCTTCGCTATTCGTCACCTGTGTAGCATTCGTGAATAATCTCTGATCGAATTGTATCTCTGCACTGTTGGTATTTGATGACTTCGCTAATCCCAACTGTGTTCTTTCGCTGATGTCCCTATCACCGAGTGATTTGGCAATGACCCTGTTCCTCTGTTCTTTACCCATACGTGACATTTTAATCTCTCTTTCAGCTTTACGCATTCTTTCTTCTCTTGCCAATGCTCTTTCCCTGGCTGCATCGTCTTCGTATCTATCATCTTGTCTTCTAGACTTGGATTCACGACTCCTTTGTGCCAATTCCCTCAATTTGGCCTCCTTTTCCTTCGTTTCCTTCTCTGCAATTCGTTTCTTCAAAGCGTTTCTCAGTCTGATTTCCTCCCTGGCCTCCTGATCTGCCTTGTGTAAAGCCTCTGCTAAATTGATGGTGTTGGTATTAATAGTGGCTTCACTATTAACATTCCTGCTCGGATCCTTACCATCAACTGCCAATCTTTTATCCAATGCAATGGTAAATCCATTCGGATTCTTCCAATTTGAAATAGCAGGTGGTATATACCATGCCTTCTGCTCCTCTGCAGTTGCTTTCCTTATTGGTGCGTGTAGAACAGGTGCTGGAGGCGAAGAAGGTCTAGCCATATGCTTCTTCTGTTTGAACTTTGGCGGAGCCATAGGATCCTCTTGCTTATCAACGATTTTAATGATTCTTGAACTCGTCGCACTATCGTTCAAGACATTTGACGAAGTATATCTTATGTATTCTGCTTCGGTCTTGTCCTTCTTCTTCTGCACGAGATTCTTAGACCGTGATTCCAACACCAACTGTAACGCTCTTCTAGTTCTTTCAGTACACTCTTGAATCTCTTCAGCTGTAGGCATACGGAGGGAAACATTTTTTTGTCTTTGTCTCAACGGCTTTAGGTCTTCAATAGAGCTTTGGATCCTCCTGTTATCATTCTCACCGGTCCTCAAGAGCACTGAGTAGTCTCTTCCAGTGCCACTATCGTCACCCTGTATATCATCTTCAGCTTTAGTGACAACTAAGCTCTTTGAAGTGGGAGTTTTTTCTTGACTACTACCGGCTTTCACCTGGGATAGGTATTGTCCAATAGAAAACATGCGTTGGTAATTGAAACAGGCCCGATATGGTTCCACTGGGTACGCTAAAAGAACCCATTGCTCACAGCTGAGAGTCGTTACCGTACGCTATACAATTTTTACAAGCTTGATACACCCAGACACCTGTTAACCCAGACACCTATAAACCTGGACACCAAAAGTTTGCTTACGTAATATCAAGCCGTGAACTACGGCCTCTCCATAAGTGTCACTCCGTCATTCTGGGACACGATTGGAGATGTGTGTGTACTCTATTCGGACCTCAGCCTGGAAATGGGGTCTTCCATATGTCTGCCAAATGATGGATTCACCTATCACTGAATGATCTTACATGTGCTCCCAGGAGAAAAGACCAAAGGAATATATCATCCTCCTGCTGTTTTCCCCCGGATTCCGTCACTCAAGCACAATCGGGTCCTGATTATACATGGCAGGGACCGACCGACGGTTGAGGGTTTATGTCCCCAGTAGACCAATCGACTTTAGGGTGAAAATACGGTGAATTTAGTTCCCACCCTCCCATTCAAACAAAATACAGTAAAGCATTCACCTTCATTTATTCCAAGAACAGTGCAAAGTTCAACCGTGGATAAAGAGAGCGAGAGGCAGAGAGGGGGTAACCACAACAACCACCAAGCGCAGAATCCCGCGAATATCGCAAATTCCGAATCCATTTTGTGTGGGTTTTACGTGGGGGTTCAAGCTACACACAACAAGAGGGTATTATCCTATTGCGTAGAGCAACCTTTGAGTGTACCGCTGCTCACAGTACGCATTCCCGCTAGTTCAACGGCTCGAGAAAGGTGACATTTGCGGAGGATTGAGCGAGATGCCACATTTCCCAAAGATCAGTAAGCTACCCGATTTCGACCCGACAAGGCATCGTCACTGGGTATCAATATTGAAGAAGGATAAGCAGGCTGATAAGCACAATAGCCTCCGAGTACTGAGTTTTAATGTCCTGAACCAGTCTTACATGTGGCCACAGGTGTACAACTCGTACGTGGCCAAGGAGTACCGGTCGTGGGACTATAGGCTCTCGTTGTTGCAGAACACCGTGACGAACCCCCAGTTCCAAAGTGGCATAATGTGTTTCCAAGAGATGGAATCGAAGAGCTTTAAACAGATCTGGAAGCCTATGTTCAGGCAACTGGGCTATGATGGCGAGTTCATCAGAAAGGGGACACCGGGCTACTGGCATGATTCTAAGGATGCTGAGCTGATTGATGGCGTGTCCGTGTTCTACGACAAGAGTCAGTTTGAACTGATCGAATGTGAAAAGTTCAAGATCGCAGATTACTTCAACGATACCTTTGAAAACGACTATGGTATGGCAATGGATCGTACTGCCATAGGCGAGATCCTCAACTCGAAAAACCAGGTTGAGCTGATTATGGTGTTACGACATTTGTTCACCGACAAGATCATCGTTGTTTCCAATACACATCTGTATTGGAAGTTGAGTGATATCAAACTGTTACAACTCATTGTTATTCTTCAGGCATTGAACAGGGTTCAGAAGAGATATCCTAACTCCAAAGTGTTATTTATGGGCGATTTCAACTCATCTCCACAGTCCTCTGTGTATAAATTCTTGAAGAATGACAAGATTGAAACCTGTCATCCTGATATTGCACCGTTCTTGGTGCACCCAGATAAGGAATTCATCGAAAACCCAGTTAGATCACAATCGAATGTATTCGATTCCATAATTGCAGAGAATGACTTATTTACATGTTTTACGCAGCATTTATTCGGCATCTTCGACTACATATGGTTCAACTCAAGGGACTTTAGACTCACAGGGTTCTTGAGTGGTGTTGATACAAGCTACATGAAGTCTATAAGCGGACTACCCAATCGAGACTACCCCAGTGATCATATTCCTTTGGTTGCAGAGTTTGAAATTCTTTGACTCTTATTTATTTATATATGCTTCACCTATTTATTCCGATCCATTACAAGTCTTCAATGTCCATTAACGGTGTAGGATCAAATCTCAGCTTGCTATTCATCTCTTGTAGCTTGTCATCGCCCATGGTTTCAACTTTCTTTATCAATGCTCTATCAACGTTCCCACAGAGCTTCAGCTTACTGAGGGTACACAGGTCACATCTACGACCTCTGGGGAGACAGATGGACTGTCCAAAGCCAACCAGCTCAGGGTTTATCTCGGTCCAGAGGTCTCTTGGTAGCCAACTCTCTAATTCGACCCTGGTCTCCTCAGGACCCTTTTTGTTCTTTACCCAGTGCCACATCTTACTTAGCCTATCAACGTGAACATCAACACCAATCCCCAAGTTCAGGTCCCACGCCTTTTGTAGTGTTAGGAAGGCCATCTTAGGTCCAACACCAGGCAATGATACAAGTCCCTCTAAAGTGTTCGGTACTTCTCCATCCCATTTGGACAATAGGATATCAACGCTTTTCTTTATGTACGATGCCTTTCTTGTATGGAAACCAACACTAAAGATTAGCTGGTCCAGTTTCTTCTCATCTATCCATTTCATAGATTCAATGGTGATACCATCGTTAAACCCATTGGCTAAGAAGTACTGTTTCATATTCGCCATCGCCTTGTAGTTGATTTCATCTTTGGTCTGGGATGAAAGCATCAGCGACACTAAGAGTTGGAATCTGTAGTTTCTTGGAGAGAGTGGAATATCCTTGTTCAAGGTGATTGGAATCTCTGCACATCCCATGGTGTCAACTGGTGCAACTATCAAAGACCTCATCTTCTTGACTTGCTCATAGATTGGGTAGAAGTTCTTCGGTATGGGTTTACCTGATTCACCTTCAGAAAGCTTCACCTTCTTCTTTGGTGGTATCTTTACATCCTCTTCGCCCTCCTCCTTGCTCTCCTTCTTGACTACACCATCCCGTGGCGGGATTAATATGTCATCTTCATCTTCATTCTTCACTTCTTTCTTCACGCTGACCTCTTCGTTGACTTCTTTCTTAACACTTCGTTCAGCTTCTTTCTTGATGAAATACTTGGATCGTGTACCATCAATAACGCGTGCAGATCTTCTGAGTGGGACAGCCATTATCTTTATCCGCTTCTATGCCTTTGATGTATAATGAGGCCTGTCTCGAGATCAAAGGAGAAAAGTTCACTATTTGGGATCTCCGACAACCCCGCTTATCTCCGCCTATATACTCTGGAAACTACAATAAGCACATCAGTCTCTAAAATCATTTGATTTTATAGCATACTAATATACAAAAAATATATATGTATTACCCACACCCAATTAAAGGGAACGACGAGAAATGCAAACCCTCAGGTCTTTCTCGAGGATCTGAACTCTGGTTTGAACTCTCTTCTCACGGCGTTGTTAATGTCCTTCTTCTGTTTCAATTGGAATTTAGTCATAAGTGGTATATGATCCGATGGAGCATGTGCGTTCGGGAAACCAACGTAGTGGTTCAAGTACTCTTTGTCCATTTCACCTAGTAATCCACGGACATTTAACGATGACGGCGTGTACCATATATAATCCAAGACATCGGTAAAGCTTGGTGTGAAGTTGGTGAATGACATCTCTCCAATGTTCGAATAAGCAGATTTGAAGTGTAGGCCATGAGTGAACCCCTTCTCGGTGAACTTACCATAGTCTCTGCCTTTGATATCCTCATGATCCTTGACAAACCCTGTAGAGAGTAGCTGATAAACAGCAGAGTGTGGCTGCGAGTTGAAATCACCACAGACAAGCATTGGTAGTTGTTTCATAGTAGAATCTTCGGTAGTATTCAGATGATTCTTGGCAATTATCTCAATCTCTTCGAGAAGGACACCAACTTGGACTGTTTTAACATCGTTATACGCTGGATCCCAATGCAAATGGGTATTAGCCACCAGGACATCTTGTCCGGTTTCAATGTGTTTCAAAATTGTGATGAGACCAATGTTATCACGGCTTTGTAATCTGTTAAACACGTCATCGGTCTTCTTATATCTGGAGGCGTTTAAAACAATTTGTGTATACTCCAGTGCCTTTTTACCGCATAGCGTGAACTTGGATTGTTTGTAAAACGTTGCACAACCATCAACTTTCTTTGCCTCTTTTTCATTCATTCTTTTTGCCCTGTGCTTTGCATGGAAGATACCTCTATATCCACGTTCAGTCATTACTCCTAGCCAATAATCTTCAAACAGCTGGGTTTCAACCTCTTGAAGACAAATGATATCTGCATCTGATTGTAGAAGTTGTTCTTTCAAAACATCCTTCCTGTAATCCCAACTCAAAGCCCAAGAAGGTGTATAACTGTACATTCTTGCAGATGCATAGTGTTGACACAAGACATTGTAATCCAAAAGGGTGAAACATGCCTCCTCTCCTCCCTTTGATAGTTTACCCGAATCTTTGTCGCCCTCTTCTTCATGGTTGACATCCTCTTCAAGTTGTTCAATTTCGCCATCTTCTGACAATTCAATCCATTGTCTCTTTGGAGGTGGTAGATCCTTTGGAACGTTATCCCTCAAATGTATAATCAAAGATCTTGTTCCCTTTTTCGCCAAGATCTTGATGTACTCCATTTTAAAATCTGGATTACCTTCCAACCCAATGAAATGTAATGAGAATAGGTTACCAAATTCAAAGGGTAAAGTTGTCAAATGGTTATCAAACAGGTAAAGGTACTTCAACATTGTTAGAGATCCCAACTCCAAAGGTAGAGAAGTTAGTCTGTTATTCGACAAGTCCAACACTTTCAAAAATTTCAATTGTTTAATCTGCTTAGGTACTTGAACCAAGTGGTTACCGTTTAGATATAATTTGGTCAAGAATTCGTAGTGGAACAGCTTCGGAGATATGTTCGCAATGGATTGACCACTCAAGTCTAATCCACCCCACAGCTGGTCTGGATATTCCTTGGAAGTGATTCTTGGAATGGTAAAATCGTCAATATCTTCGTCGTTCTCATTATCGTGGGAAAGTTTCTTGTTGTGTAACAGCGAAGGGTTTGTAGAATTAGTCTGCTGTTGCTGCTGTAAAGATTCCTGGTTATGTTCTGAATCTAACATCTGTACCGTCATATCTACAAGCGACATCGGTTTCTGTTGTTGCTCTCCAAATTGCGGTTGTTTGGCCCTTCTGGAGACACTCGCAGCATGTCTTGCGTAGAAATGAGGAACATTGCACTTTCGGGAAACCTCCGCCAATTGCATTTGATCTTGCCAATGCTCCAGGGAAGCAGTCGCCTGGTCGACAAGTATAGCTCTATGCAATTGTTGATGTTGCTGCTGCTGTTGTTGCAGCTGTTGTTGTTGAGATTGCTGCTGTTGTTGTTGCGGCGGTGGCATCCCAGGTTGTAGCTGAGGTTGAATATTCCGTTGTTGAGGAGTCTGGGCCCTGTTGTATTGACCTTGATAAAGGGTCTGTTGTAACATCTGAGTGTGCGAGAGGTCATTACCAGAGTGTTGTCCGCCAATGGAGTTATTCATCGTCTGGAACAGATCATTGAATTGCACCTTCTGCTGCTGTTGTTGTGGTTGTTGTTGTTGTTGCTGCTGCTGCTGCTGCTGTTGCTGCTGTTGTTGTGGTTGTTGTTGTTGTTGCTGCTGCTGCTGCTGCTGTTGCTGCTGCTGTTGTTGCTGTTGCAGCAACTGCTGAGCAGGAGTGAGCCCTTGATACCCTTGTATGTTCATCCAGTCAGTGTTGTGTGAATCGTCAAAGCAAGAAGTCGGTGTAAAATATCTCGACAACGAATGGAGCGCTTAGCTTGCAATCTTGAGCGGTTTGATCGGAATTGATGTTTGAGCACAGCGCTTTGCTTTTCAAGCGACCTTTGTTTCCTCTTTATTACTCCTTTTGTTTCTTCTTTAGCTGGGCCTTTGATTGTAAACAACAGTTGTTTTCCTTTCTGTACCCTTCCCCCTTTAAAGTTTTGAAGTTCTCAGTTTTTCTCACAAAACGATTTTCGCTGTCGTTGTTTGTGTGTGTTTTTTTTGTTTGTTCGTTCGTTCGCCTTTACGTTGATGGCGAAATTTTTCGCGCAAAGAAATTACATAATTTTTTCGTTTGTTTGTCCTTCTCTTTTTGCGCAAAGCATTTCAGTTTGATTACCCTGACGACCACACCACAGTGCAAAATTTCGCACTTTGGCATCATGTGCTGCAGGATTGTAAAGATGATGGAGGCGCGCAACACTGGGCGGTCAACTTTGGTGGAGGGTGTCCACACTCGGTCTTCTCATATCGCCGGGATTGTTTCAAGCGGCGCTAAAAAACACGATAAACCCGTCCCAAGGTGACTGACATTTGTCCCAAATTGCAGGAGTTTCCGACCCAATCTGCAAAGTGGAACTTCTATCAACGAAGCTCCCTATTTTTGAATTTTTACACCAAGCTGAGATTAGAAAAAAGGACAAAAAAAATTCAAAGGACGTGGTGAGACATTAAACCAGCGCTAAGGACAAAGGACACAAGGTATAGAAAAGGACAAGACATTGCACTTCCATAGGCGATAAGAAGGGGGACATATTGACATAGAAGACATAGAGAGGGACACGGACAAACATATAAACATCGAGACAAATGCCCTTCATCCCAAAGCTCAGTGCGACGCTCTCAAGTAACAGCTTGTTATCACCATCGTCTTCGAATGTAAACAATGCATCAAGCAATCAGCCATTGCAACCTCTAACATCGGTCACTTCCAACAACAACCTGGCCCATTCATCTCATCCGCCGTTTGAGCTTTCTATCGACCTGGAGAGTCCACCGATTATCCTCTACGGACCTCCTTCAGAGTCCTCAGGCTCTCTAGTTTCAGGCCAGTTGAACATCACCATCAAGAAGGAGGCCTTCCAACACCAGCAGCAACATCCACAGAGACCCTCCGCCAAAAGAGCGCTCTCTTCAAACACACTACAGAACCTGTCGCAGACGTTGTCCAATTTGAACTTATCGCCTGCGCATTCTCATAATGGCTCTCCAATACACTCAAAGAACAACTCCTCCACAAACCTCATGAGCCTGTTGAATGTGAAGGACCACGTGCTGATCAACTCTGTGCGACTGACCCTCTACCAGAACGTTCACTATGCCAAACCGTTCTTACCTCCTTCAAACACACTGTCCAATTGTACGAGCTGTAAGAAGAAGTCTACTGAATTGGCCAGATGGGACGTTATGACACAGGCACATAACCTCCCAGCTGGCAAACACTCGTACCCATTCTCTCATCTATTGCCAGGAGCATTGCCTGCCACCACCTGCCTAGGCTCAAGTGGTATAACTACGATCAAGTACGAGCTGGTGGCCATTGTATCCTACAACACACATAACAACCATCAAAACATCGTCAAGGTTGCGCTGCCTGTGAACATTGCAAGATCTGTGCTTAGAGGCCCTGACAGAAACTCGCTGAGAGTGTTTCCTCCGACAGACGTTACTGCTACGGCTGTTCTCCCAAACGTTGTCTATCCAAAATCGTCATTTGCATTGGAGCTGAAACTAGACGGAGTGTCGTCCTCTGATAGAAGATGGAGAATGAGAAGAGTGGGCTGGAGAATCGAGGAACAGGTGAAAGTGAAGACCAATTCATGTGAAAACCACAAGTCCAAGTTGAAGGTTATCGAACAGCACTACCGGAAGAACCCAATGTTGACGAAGAACAACGTGAAGAGAAACCAACAATCTGGCCCAACAACGTCATTCTCTGTGTCGAATGCTGCATCTTTGACACCAATGGCTTCTAACAACTTGAGTGCTCAGCAGACGAGAGAAGGTGTCACTCCAACGGTATCTGCTAGTAACGAGGACCGAATTGTTGTCAATGGCTCTAATGACAATGACAATGACGATCATATCTCTTCAACAAACAATCTGCACCCAAGTGACCATGCCAATGAAGAACTACGTCTATCACAGCTAGCAAATGCACAGGCCCAAGCAGAGGACTATTCTCTCTACTCTCAAGAGATTCGCACAGTGGCAACAGGAGACCTAAGAAATGGATGGAAATCAGACTTCTCAGGTAAGGGTAAGATTGAGCTTGTTGCTGATATCTCGTGCTTCGGATTATCAAGTGCTTCTGGTCCTCACCGGACCCACGTCTCTTCTAACAACCCCCTTAACCTCCCACCTGTTCATCCCACTATTTCTTGTGATATTGACGATCCTGTGCTGGGTATCTACTGCTCACATGTGCTCATCGTGGAGGTTGTTATTGCTGAAGAGGTGCTGCAAAACTCATCGTCAGCGTCTCTAACAACATCGACTTCTCATACAGAGTCCTTGAGAAGAGAAGGTAACAGACCTGATCAAAGACTTGCTGAATTGTCTCCTGTCTTTGCTAACCACGTTAAGCCAACAAAGACTGAACCAGCTAACTCTTCGCGTAAGCCAGAAGATCCTTCGAGCATCAACGCCGTTGTTGGTGTACCTACTGGTTCTGCCCGTGTTCTACGTATGCAGTTCAAGTTGAACATAACAGAGAGATCGGGATTGGGAATAGCATGGGATGATGAAGTCCCTCCTATGTATGAGGATGTCTCTGCATTGTCACCTCCAACTTACGATACAGCAATGTCTCCATACATAGATTCACCACAAGTTAGTGGTGCCAATCCCCCACTCTACCCTCTAAATGCTGCCCATACGCACACTGCACACATCAATGGATCAAGCGGTGCTGCTACTCCAGGTGTTATCTACGGTATCGGTAATACACCAGGTATAACACCAAGACCTTCAGCAAATTTCCAGAGTCTGAATGGTGCTTTAGACATTGATGAATTTACACTGAATTGATCAAATTTCAGCTTAGTTTAATTCTGTTTTAATCTAACTTAATTTAATATTATGGACATTAAGACGTAGGTTGTTTCACTCGTCGTCTTCGTCATCTTCAATGACTGCACGCTTCTTGACCCTAATAGGTACATTGTCTTCGTCGTCTTCATCCATAACTGCTAACTCTGTGTGTTTTCCGAGGTCATCATCGACTTCTTCACTTGTGACTTTGGTCTGTTCGTTATCACTATTGTCTGAAGATTCATTTTCGCTTTGTTCATTATGGGACTCTTCCTCGGATGACTGTTCACTGTCACTGACAGGTACACTATGAACATTAGATTCCTTAAAAGCGGACAGTTCCTCCTCAGACTCTTCGTCATCTGAAATAGCTGTTTTTGTTCTCTTCACAGCAGGTGAAATGATCTCATCTCCTTGTCTCTTTGGTGGTGGAATGATATCAATGATTCCGTCATTGTCTTCGTTATCGTTGTTACCTGAGTTAGTAGCAGCAGAGTGGAACAGCGCTCTCATCTGTTCAGCAGTTAAATTTCCATCATAACTTTCCAAGAGATCACGTAGTCTTCTTTCACGTGCATAGAATGCTGCATTTGCTTCTTCATCTTCCTCGTCAGAATCCACAATGTACTTCATAGACTTGTAATCAGCATTAGTCGAATGTTTATGTCTGGATTTTCTTTCAGCTTCATCATCACTGAGTTCATGCATTGGCAAATCCCCTGTAGCACTTCTACGTCTCCGTGATTTGGACTTCTTAGACCTGTGTTTGGACTTCTTCTTTGCAATTCCTCTACCAGTAGATCCATGCTCATTCGCTTCAATTGCATCCTCTATTTGGTCCAGTTCATCATCCATATACCCCACTTTGGTTCTTCCTTCATCATCACTGTGAAACCCGAAAGCAACATCATCGTCGTCCGAAGAATAACCGATATCTTGAAATGCATCAGAGTCGTAGCCTCGATTTTCATTGCTCTCTTTGTACTGATCTTTGAGGTTCCTTTTTATCACATAGTCTCTGGCTGTCTTGCCTTCTTCCAAGCTGACTGGCGATATCAAATAAATTTTGATATACGTGTTGACCATTATAAGCTGGTCAACGTCCTCAGAGCCTGAAAAGGTACATTTCTGGGAGGTTGTTGCAGGTAATGATGCACCAGCAAGTTTCAACAGATATCTCACTCTCGGTTCTGTCACAAGCTTCTTCTTCATACTTGGATACATGCTAGTTATGATAACTGGCTTACGTTCTTTATCATCAGGCAAATCAGAGATATCTTGATCTGGAGGTACATCCATGGAGTTTTCTTGAAGTCTAACTGTAACAACTTTCTCCAATTCCTGTGACAGCCAATCGACCACCTCTTTAAATCCATCATCAATGAGATACGCCACCATAATGGCAACCTTCTTCTCCAAATCCATACTATCACCATTTTTAATTTCAACAATGGAATGAACTAAAGTTTCTCTCCTGATATTTCTTATTTCTAATTCATCAAATGGTGATGTTGATACACCACCTGGGAATAGCATCTCAACGTACAGACATGGTTCATCGTCCAATGATTGTCTCAGTTTCTTCATAAAGTGATTCATGAACTGTTCGACGTGTTTTCTGATATTTGACGTGTGAAGTAAACCCTCTGGACTCAGCATGTTGTGCAATACCAACATGAAATCGAGACGGAACAAAAGATTATAACGTTTCAATGAGAAAAAGATTCTATGCAAAAACTTGATAGCTTTCTTCAACGACTTTTCCGGAACATCGTTGAACCTCTTTATGAAACTGATGTATGAGTGAATAGTTCCCTCGTGTGCAAGAGATGCAATGAACTTATCACGTAAATCACGTCTTCCTTTAGAGAGTACATCGGCTGCACTCTCGAGTGCCTGCTCGTCATTGATATCAAGGTCATCGATGGTTATTTGCTCATTTGTGTAAACTTTGACATACGATCTCGACTTCTGTTCCTTGATGAACTCCTTCATGTTTGTCTTTGCAAAGATATCCATTTCTTTGGTCATTGCATCTACCAAAGCAACACACGTATCAACAAACTCTGGAGATCTCTTGTGTGCATTTTTAACACAGGGTGGTATAGGACTGATATGGTGATCCTTAAAGATCCTCTTCCTCAGGTTTGTCGAGATGTATCTGTTCTCATCAAGAGATGATACGGAAAGTGTATTAGCAACCTGAAGCATCTCTGTTAGCAGAATCATACACGCATGAGCCAGCTCCCACTTCTTCTCATCAACGGCTTCGTTGAAGTAACTGCCCAACAGAATAAAGGTCTCGTCCGTTAACGCTGATCCGACAAGAGTATAGTCAACTTCACTCAAATTGGAGCCATATCTCTCTCTTTGGGCTTCCAAAAACCACGCAATGATCATAACATATTGAATTTTCGACTGTGTATCAGAACCTTTGTTATCAGAAGATGAAAGCACCCTTGTACATGCTTTTATGAACGGGTTGAAGGCACCATCGATAAAATCAGTAACAAAACTGTTAAATGCTTTTCTGTTTGTCGAACCAATTGCCACATGTCTTTGAATGACACCTTCATCATCATCGGTATATTTAAACCTTGCTGTCTTTATCCATTTCTTGTGTTGATCGAAGGTTGCAATTGGATCATTTCTGCTCAACAGATTGCCTGAGTTAGAAACAGTCAGTCTCCCCAAGTCTGGAGTCTGTAATGATAGCAACGTACCAAATCTTCCATGACGACTAGATGTGTGTTTTTTTAACTGGTTCACCATATCTTTCTCCTTTGACAACAAATCACCCAGTGCTAGTGATGATTCGGCTTGTTCCATAGAGTATTTCTCAACGTCTTTAGAATACATGATATAACCTGGACTTAAATGTCTAACCATGTTGTACAAGATATCCTGGGAGATATTTGCAACCATCTGGGGGTCAAAATCTTTATCAACACCGATAGATGAGTAGAAAGTGAGGAAGAAAGTGAAGACAAGGTTATCGTGAAAAGCTCCCAAACACGCACCAATACTAACGTCATCCATGTCAACACCTTTCGGCAAATTCTCGGTTAATTCTGCCTGTTTTAATTTCTTGCCCTTAGCCTTGGATATACCTGCTGGTTCAATCTGTAGTAGATTTCTAAAGAACACGATACACTGCTTGATGATAAAGTAATCTATCTTCTCTCTTTCCCTCTTATCCTTCGCAATAACAGGCAAAAGAATCTTTATGACTGCTTGTAAGACGAAACCGTTTCTATAGGTTAAGATCTGCTTCTTATAGTACAGCTGGTACTTCTTCAGCTCGGAGTAATGTTCCAGCTGCTGTTTAAAGATCCCCTCTGAGAGCTCCAATGGTAGAGTCAACAAGACAAGAAGCTTGAGACACTTTCTGGCAATTCGTTCGTCATGTTTCTTACTGTAACCGGATATCGTTGATTTCTTATTCAAAGAGTCATTCCACATACACAGGATGGTCACCAAGTCGTTAACTAGCCCGGTCTCTGCACACGCAACTGCAACTTCCCATGAGTTTTCCCTTTGATCGTGCGAGACGATCCATTTCTCAATATCCTGAAGACACAGGTAAGCCTCTATCCCCAGTTTGTAAGGAGCATTCTGCTTATCTGAAGAGTAGTCCAAACCACCAAGAGATGTCACAAGAATGGCAATGTACGATTTGATATAAGGCTTTGGAGGTGGTGGTTGGTTCAGCGAGGTTTGACCGTACCCATCGCGTACCTCTTGGTCATCAATCACATCTCCTTCAATGAAATCCTCTAAGGTTTCGTCACCTGGGTCCTCCATGGCTTTGTTGGAATGATCAGCACTGTGTTTCTACTGTTTATGGGCTTCAATTGGAGTGTTGAACAAGACGCCAACGCGTTCAAAGTAACAAACCTGGGACGGAAAAAAAGTTTGTTTGAGACGCGTTTTCGCGTTGAGTCACGTGATTTGGGATTTTCTATCTGATCACGTGACTGGAATATTCTCTGTGGGTGTCTACTATTTTCCACCTACGGTACACAATCTACTGATATTAGCATCAGTAAGGCATGCGTGATCAGCATGTGAAGATAGGGTAGACTTGTTGTTGTTCATTGGGTATTTAGTGTATATGCTTTGCACCGGATAGGTTCCAGTTTTGCGGGGGATAACACGCTAAAAGACAGACATACTCATTTTAGGTAGCACCAGGAATAGAATGCTACCAATCAAGAATGCACTCTGAATAACTTCTTCCTGTTGCTGCTTATCACCATTGGATTGTGTACTTAACATGGTCACTTATGTCGAGAGCTATTAACTAGTTACTCAATCAATTGGCCGATGTGATGCAATTTCCAGGCTCTCTGCGAATGACTTGAGGATTAAGTATTATAGGGGGAACAAAATGTTATAAACCCCAACTGGGCTCCGTCATAGAAACTGTTTCATTTTATAAGATCCTGTGATGGAGAAGGGTGGGGGGTTCTCTACAAAGTAAATATACCTTTTGGCGTATTCAGCCTTTCGTAGAGTGCTCTATAAATCCTCAACACGCTATTTCCTTTTATGAGTTCTCAACATGCGACGTCTGATATACAACTCCTCTCTTTGATACGATAATAATAAGAGAGACATACATTTTCGAGGTATCATATAATACACGACAGTAGAAACACGAAAGAGGAAGTACTGGACTTTGAAAGACGAAGGCTTCTTATATGAATGCGCCATAACAGTACTATTCTGTAGTAATTGCACTAGACTATCGAAGTCAATTCATCAATACATCAGATAGAACAATAAAAGTTTGGAACATGAATATGTAAGAACTTTGAATTAAATTCCCCCAGACATTATACCCATAGGTGATGAAATCAATAGAGACACCAACAACGTCAACAGAGAAATCTCAGCACCAGTTGTAAGAACAACTGCACTGCAGCTGGAGTAGAATATCTCTGAAATAGTAGCTAGAGTGACAACAGCAGTGGCTCTGCCAGTAGCCACAGTAGCATCAGTATAATCAGTACCAGTCACTGTCGTTGAGACCTTGGACTTCGAGCACTTATTTTCGTAGCAGCCGAACAAGGAACTGTTAATGTCACAGTTTCGACACACTTAACTATGGTAACAGGAGTTATTACTACAGAGCCTGTGAGCAACGACGAGGTACTACAAGAATCGACGTTACCAGCAGAAGCATTGGAGGTGTACTTGGAAACAATATCACTCTCAGCATCACTAGCGTCAGTGACGACAGTGGTGTAGTCATCTTATTAGAAATTAGCAATCACAGGGTGTCAAAATAATTATAATAATAATTCATCAGAGAGTAGTAATGATGAATTCTGGAAGCACTTATAGCTATTAGTTTCAAGATATGATATAAGATTTAGAGCTCAATAGTCCCTGAATCGTCCAGTTGCTCATTATCTACTATGTACATAGGTGAGTTTGTACTTGCCCTATTCCATGAATTTATGCATCATTTCAGAACCCTTGGTTCTCCAGTTCCAGATGGATACGTATGCTACATCCCTCATCTTCAAAGCCACACGGGTTGTCCGTTTCACGGTACCTCTTTTCCAGACATAGCTTACCGTATCTGGCATGAGTTTGAAGGTTGACCTGTCGGTTTGGTGATGCCGGCTAATATCTCTTTGTTCTCTTTTATTTCCGTTATAGCATCATTAGTGATGGAGTTATCGATTTTAAGTACAACGCAACTTCCCCAAAATTGTTTCTGGAGAGTTTCTTGATTTTGGTAACATTTGAAGAGAATTGAAAGCTCAATCTTCGAAATTCTATAAAGGGTTCTTCTGCAGAGCCATTTTGGAGTTATGAGAGACTTTCTACAGCCTGAATCTTCACTCCTTATCTCCACAACCGACTTGGGACAGTTAGGACACCTGCGTGCATAAGCGTCTAAGCTACCAAAAGGCTTGCAACACTTTGGATTCCTTTATATCTTATATTATGTTATTTTTGAGTGTGTTATAATAGCCATAAAGGTCATAGTATTCGATATATCTCGATTTAAGGATAGTATTTCTACATTTCTGAATGAATATTTGTTAATATTTAAAATGGTTTTTGAAAATGAAGTCATAATTATATTAGCAAAATTTTATATGACAAAATATAAAAGTTCTACAGAGTGCTTTGCGTTTTCTTCATTGAAACTTAGTTTATAGGATAGCTTGATTACGCTATGATACAGACTGCATGTTATACAGTGTTAGCAACTCTATTATCTTCAAATTCACTTAAATACGATTCTTCATCGTTCTGGTACCACCAAATTTTCGCAACAGCTTATCTCTTTTCGCAAAATGTGTTGCATATACCGCGAGAATAAGCGCATAAGCCTTTGGCCCCCCAAAGTTGGTGGAGGTAGAAAGCCACGCCTAGTCGTAATATGGTATATGTAGTCAGGGTAGAGTAACATCTGAACACGGGGTGTTGCCCTATTACGATTACGACCATTACCACGACCACGACCACGACTACTACAACGACTACGACCACGACTATTACAACCACCATCAGAACATACATTCCATTCAATTGCATACAACCACTCTCACACAAAACAACCGTGCTCCTCAATTGCCTCGTAGACGGTTCATTTAGCCTATCACAAAATGCTTAGCAATTGGACCAATTCCTACCCCACAGTGCAGAATGTTGGAACTATCAAAGTACAACCACCAAACCCGGCTTCGGCTTCTTCGATACGTCCCATACGTTCCCTATCTCTCGCTTTTGGTCAGCGGGGGGCCCGTTCCGCAACTCTATTGATTACCCCATCCGGCCTCAACAGCGCCTTGAAGGACACGCAAAGAGAACCAACTTTGTCTATGTGCACCTCATTATTACTCACAGAGATAAGCAGAAGCCTCCACCGAAAAGCATAGCAAAAGATGAACGTAGGGACCAAATAAGCCCCGTTGAAAAGCAGCGTTATCGTTAAAGCGTTGT